GTTCACCATCTTAGCTGTAGAGGGCAGTGTCACTGGCCCTCATGTGGGATCCGAACCGGGGCCCTGCTGCTCAGAGCTGGCATCCCAAGCCAGCTCCTAACAAACGCGCCATTCGGCCATCCCTCGTCATATTTATTAATCAAAGTTTTGACTCTAATACAAAACTAAGGGCATTACAATTATGAGAATTTTGACGATAAAAAAATGGGTCATTAATGAGGATAGAAATATAATGATATGTGCATTCTTGGATTGGTCCTCCTCATCTATCACTTATAATGTTCAGAAATATTAATTTGCTTTGCAGACATATGCTGTGGATAGCTGGAAAAAAAATCTTAAAGATTATGAAACCAGGACAGTATGAATTTATACGGAGTTTTTCTTTTATATCTTTTAAAAGAAATATAATTTCTTTTAAATTATATTTAATTTTTTTAAAGCATGTTTTAAGTTTCACACATTTTTTAGTTAATTTAGTGGAATTATTCAAAGACATTTTATATTGTTTAAAAAACTTTGAGGATTAATATACATACAGAAACGTGTACATATAAGTCCACAGCTTGATCAGTTTCCACCAGCTGAACCCCCTGTGTAATCAGCACTCAGATAAGAAACAGAGCAGAACCAGCACCCTGGGAGCCCCCTTGTCCCCCTGCCACACCCCAGATGAAAATACCAAGTGTCTGACTATTCAGAGCAACTTGAACTCTCATGCATTGCTGGTGGGAATGCAAAACATTCCAGCCACTTTGGAAAACAGTTTAACTCCTATAAAGTTAAACATACTCTTGCTGTATGACCCAGCAATCCCACTTCTAGGTATTAATATTTATCCAAGGGAAATGAAAACGTGTGCTCACAAAGATCTGTATGGAAATGTCTACAGCAACTATATTCATAATCACCAAAAGCTGGAGACACCCAAATGACAATCAATGGGTGAATGGATCTGTAAATAGTGGTACATCTATGCAATGGACTGCTACTCAGTCACAAAAAAGCACAAATTACTGATAGATTCATCAACACTGAAGAATCTCAAAAGCATTATGCTAAAGTAAAAAAACAAGACATAAAAGACTATGTATAGTATGATTCCATTTATATGACATCCATGAAAAGACGGAAGTATAGAGACAAATCAGTGGTCATCAGGGGATGGGGGTGAGAGAAGAGGGATTGACTTTGGGTTGCCAGACAAAATACAGATTGATAGTTTGATTGGATGTCCTGGGGGAAGGGATTAAGAATATGTTTATCAGGGGCCGGCCGAGTGGCGCGATGGTTAAGAACTCGCTTGGGATGCCAGAGGGCCCCGGTTCGGATCCCACATATGAGGGCCAGTGACACTGNGGGAAGAGCGCAATGATGGTGCCAACTTGGGTCAGTGAAGCAACGTCCTCCACAACCAGACTGAAGAACAAAACGACAGCAACTTGTCTGTTCCCCTTCCCCCAATTCCCCAGCACTGTTCCCATCCCCCCAGTTCCCCAATAAAAAATCTTTAA